ACTGAAATTACTGATCAGGTTGGAAACTTATATTTAAATCTACGACCTAATAAGCAGAAAATTTTAATAGTTTGACATTGGATGTGATTCCAATGAAGCAACTGCAGAGAGCCGCTTGCTGCATGAAGATGATATTCAAAATCAAGTCTTTTTTTATCGTGAATCCATGACAAAAATGATTTGCTGAAATGCAGACGCGGAAGTTCTTGTGAATCTCTGATGTGGGAGTGATTTATTGCAGATAACATGAACTGCTATCGGCAATAAAGTGTCTTTTCGTATTCAGTTACTGTCCAATGCAGATACGTCTATAACGAATCAATGAAACGAAGCAGGATATTCTTCCTGTTTTTGTTATCCATTTTTATTTTATAAATTCTAATTGTCACGAAAATTACTTAGACTTATTTATCATTCACAAGTCCGAATACTTTTAAACGAATTTGATTTAAAATTGATCGTATTTTGAAATATTGCTAGCATCGAACACATAGTAGAGGATAAAGCTAGTTTATAAATATTTTCACGACTTTCGCTTTAACATCTTTTACGTGAGGGCGCAGCCGTGGGCCACAAACTGAACTCTTCAGGTGCAAATGTTCAGTATAAACATACACACTGTGCACAGTTACAAGGAGCGCAGCCATGCTATACGGTTGCTGAACACAATCGCCCTTGCATGAAAGTGGTTGAAACGCCTAGCATTTTTCCATAATTTCGTCTATCAGCCGCGCATAGGGTCAGTCATGCATGGTTGAACTAATTATTAGTTCAACTATGTTAGTTCTACTAGTCCAGTTATTAGTTCAACCAAGGGGTCTGCCGTCAGTAACCAGCCTACGTCATCGTTATGTATTGAAAATTACGAGCTTTACACCTAATAATACTGGAGCAAATAGCCTAAGAGTGTAGGGACTGTCCACCAATAAATGTTTCATTGTAGCATAACTGCACAATCTTCCCCGCGCTCGAACTGTAACTATCGCACGCAATGCAACCAATCATGCATCAGTTAAGTTCTCCTTGGCAGTTGCATCAAACTTGCCTAGTCCGATCAGCCGCTGATCAAATATGACTTATGTCACAGCGTTAAATTATGTTACTTTTAGATTTCAGAATCTGACGTTTGGTTTTACACAGCAAAGTTAGGTGACCCTACGTCCCATAGTTGAACCATGGTACGTCAAATGCCTGTTAGGCATTGTCTGGGGACCGTACGTTTGATGCCAAGCGGCAGCTGCGGCTGTGCGATGACGCAATCGTTGCCTCTCATTGGGCACATTTGCGCGGTTGATTAGAGACTGCACATAAACGTTTAATGCCTGCTTTTGCCGAAAGCAGTGGAACCTGTGGATGTGCGATGACGTGATCGTATCCTCTCACGTACGTCTATGAACGTACACGTACATCCGTTCAATGCCAGCAGCTACTACAACAGTGGCAGCTCCGCGATGTCACAATAGTCTCAGTACCTAATTATTAGGTGGAAGCTTAGTCAATGCACGCGTTCTATAACCTGCATACGTCTTCGAGACATATCTATGTAACTGTATTTGTTTAGTCTAAATCAGTGGTTCCCAAAGTGGGCGATATCGCCCCCCTAGGGGCGATGGGAAGATTTTGGGGGGCGGTAAAGAAGAAGAGGGTGGTAGGGGGGCGATAGGGGGGCGGTAGTCCGAAGTCGAAGTTCGAACGTTAGTTTGACTATTTGTACACAACACGTGCAGCACATGCATGACTCGACTCCCAGCGATGTTTTTTTCACCCAGATCTGTTTATAGCCCATTTTCTCATTTATGGAAAAAATGCACTATTGTGCTCGCCATGTCCGTCCGTCTGTCTGTCCGCCTGTCTGTCCGTCCGTGACTTCACGTTTTCGTTGACGAGAAAATGCGCGCTCTGTCACTCACTGCAGTGAGTGCTGAGTTATATTTTTTTAACCTCTCCTGGGTTTACGTCTCCGACAAATTAACGGCCGGACTCGCGGCCGGTCTCACGGCCAAGTTCCAAATTCAATGATCAAGGAATTTCTCTCAAACTAATAAACTTAACTCGATGAAACTTGGTACACGTATTAATTAGGACCTAACGGTAATGTGAAGCTTGTGAAAAATTTTTGAATTTTGCCTTCAATTGTTTTTGCCATACTTATATGACAATACGGGCCGAATTCACAGTGATCAAGGAATTTCTTCCAAACTACCGAACAGATTCGAACGAAATTTTGAATTTACAGTCCTAACTACTGAACGGTGATGTTTAGCTCGTGAAAATTTTTTCGATTGTGCCTTCGTTCGCGAGTTTCATTTGTGATTTAAACAGCAATACGTGCTTAAATTCACAGTAATCAAGAAATTTCTTGCAAACTACCGAACAGATTTGAACGAAATTTAGTATTTTAATACCTAACCTCAGCAACGGTGATGTTTAGTTCGTTACAATTTTTTCGTTTTGCCTTCGTTTGTGAGTTATACGGCTATACGTAAACGGCTCTTGGTTAAACCAGCCGGTAGAAAAGCCGGTCGTTAACTCGTTCCTCCTATATCTGTGTAACTTTCGAACGAAAGCGAATAAGGAAGTGTGAAATCAAGAATGACGGTGAAATGAAACAAAATCTCGCAAACGACGGTAAAATCAATTTTTTAATATTAAAAGCACCATTTGGTAGTTAGGAATGTATATTCAAAATTTCGTTCAAATCTGTTTGGTAGTTTGGAAGAAATTCTTTGATAACTCCGAATTTCGGCACGTATCGCAATATAACACAGGAATGAAGGTGATATTTAAAAATTTTTTCGCAAGCTAAACGTCACCGTTAAGTTCTGATGAATACATGTTCCAAGTTTTATTGAGCTGCGTTAATTAGTTTGGGTGATATTCTTTGATAATTGAATTTGGAGATTGGTCGTGAGATCGGCTGAAAAACACATTGGTTCACTAAAAGGGGTCCTATTTGTGAAATACACATTTGTGTTTAGCCTTTATCTTTTAAAATTGCAGCGAACTAAATTTTATAGAAAGAGGGGCATGATTTTATATGTGTCTGTGGTGGGCGCTAGAAAGTCACGAGGGAGCCAAAGGGGGCGCCAGCCTGAAAAAGTTTGGGAACCACTGGTCTAAATGTTCCGCTCATCTTGCAAACCTTATGAGAAAAAAAAATGTATAGCATCGACGTTAGTTGAAATAGATTTCTTCATGAAATCAGTCTTTAAGCCTTCTAGAGATAATCACAAATTTACAAGATGTTAACTAAGAAGTTAGAGTTAGATATTTCGTTAAGTTTGAAGAAGTCTTAACTCTAGAGCCTATATAAGATTTATTTTAAATTTATAACTTATAACTGACGCTTTATATCATGCATTTTAAATTTGTCCCAATCTTGAACGCTGACACTACTACCAAGACTGATGTGAAATGAAATTGAAACTGACCTAGGTAGTCATATCCGAGTGTAACTTGTTTCCAGCTCTCGGACAAATTTTTGGCCGGAACCGCGGGCCAGTGTTGCCAGATGGGCCTTTTACAGGCCAAATTTCGCAAATGTGTCCTTTTTTGAATGCATTGGCATGAAAAAAATTTGTTTGGCCTTTTTGTCCGTTTGGGGCCTTTTTTTTGAAAATTTTATTTTTGGGTTTTTTTGTGATAATTTGATCCTTCAATTTTATCCAAGACGAGTACACCCAAATTTAGTTTTGCCCAAGACGAGTACACTCAAATTCTAACCCGTAAATGTGTCAACACTTCGGTTTAGGTGGCAACACTAGCGAGTGCCGCCTAATCTGGGCAACACTTTGATTGAACCATGGGACTAAATCCAGTTGCCGACTCGTAGCCTATTAATAAATAATAACCATGGATGGCAGAGCTGACGGCGCGCATAATCGAGTATAGTTTTCACTCCTAAAGAGTAGTAAATTCAGCATTAATTTTTGAGATTACAGCGCTGCTTCTTCATACATTCAGCCTTCTGGTGTGAGTCACTACCAAATTTCACTTTGAATAAATATACCTAATTACACTTCCACGAATTATGATAGGCAATATTTTTTCTGCGTATTCCAAAGTTGTGATAAATTTATAGGATAGACTACTAATATATACCTTAGTCTTGCAAGGACCACATTATCTTTATACCGCAGATATGAGTTTACATTTATTTTCATTTCCGCATAGAAATAAATATTCTACCATCAATACCAAAACACTTCGCCACATCAATAATGTCGCCGGCCACTTCACTATCTATTTTGTTAGCAAACTGAGCCAAAATTCTCTAACACTATCGAAAAGCTTTATAGATGTAAGGTGGCAATCGATTCCTAAATATCATAGTTCTGCAGGACCTTTATTATACTGTTTTATTTACGGTCAGCGAGTAACGTGCAATTCGCTGCAGGCTTTTGTTGCATTGACGGTTAATTCAGCTCATACACATGGTGAAATTGGAGTATTTTTGCTGTCTGAAAGCCTTGAGATTAAATGCATGCACTACAAATGGTTAGAACTACCTTAAATTTGAAATTTTTTATTAATTTCAAATGTGGCCTTTTGTGGCCTTTTTCACTCGGCTCCATCTATGATCTGGCAACCCTTTCCGCGGCTCATGGTCCCGCGGCCGGTCATGCGGCAAGTCTCCAAATTCAATAACCAAGGAGTATCTCCCAAAATAATGAACGTAGCTCGATGAGAGCTCGTGTTTCCTGACTATAAATTATTATAATCCGTTCAACATCTAAAGCATGTTGGTGATAAACAACTGCATAACTTGCATTTTCTTTCGGATATTATGACTGCCATATTGTTTATATCATGGTTCTTATTATTATAACAATATATTATATAATTATCACATTATTATATCTATATCTGGTTCTATCATTATATCATTCTTATCATTATATCTAGACTCTAGTTACCATGGTTTATTTGTTTTTTTTTTGTTTTAATTTGACAAGGTGCGGATCCCGCCATTCGTCGATTTCGTCGTGAAACTGAGAACTCGAGTGCTAATACCTAAACGTATAGTTGCCGTTCACAGACTGCGTACAGACGGTACAGTATATTTCACGACCGATAGCGTACTGCGTACAGTATAATTATGCCAGGTTGAATTGTTTGAAACACATACCGTGTGCGTGTCCAGCTTCCAGGTAGCACATGTGAACTGTGTTAAGTCATTTATGGCACCTTACGGCTTACGAAGTCTGAATCAATCAGATGCGAAATAGTATCTCTGTATCTGAGTGTATCATAGTAGATCGTTGAGAAACTAAACGATAATGGCATTCATCGAAGGCAATATAGTTCGTATCTACATGAAGGATTTCTTGTAAGTATTTATTGCTATTAAGTTCATATTATTCTGAAATATAAGCAATATTTTTCTAATTATTGTTCCTGCAAACAATCTAAGTCAGTGAGCAGTGAGCTGTCAGTGTCAGACAGACACTCTTGTCGTAGCTAACTCGTAAGTACCTATTAAAAGTTAAAACCCACACTAATTATTCTATACTGGTAAGTTAGTAACTATTAATGTCAATTGTCAATAATCATTGTTACCGATGGCAGGTGATGGGCAAATCTCAGTTTTGCCAGTTTGAACTAGATCTTGGAATAAAAAATGAATTCCTAAAATTTGTCATTTGCATAGATGTAGGCCCTAACTAGAAGAGTTCTACTACAATGCATCAAAAGTCAAAACCTGGAGTTGTTTTACCAAAAAATAAAAAAATTGGAGGGGGTACTCTGACAGGCTTTAAATAATACTAGCTTTTTTTCGTGGGTCACAGTTTTAATTTTTAAACCTATTAGATAGCTATGCAAACTTTTTAAATCTTTCTATTGTGTTATGTAGGCTAGCCTCAGTAGTCAGTATTTAGGCCTTTAATGCCCATTGACAAAATTTTTCTAGGTATGTCAAATAGTTTTTGAGTTTTGGGGGTTTTTGTTAAAAAGACGAAAAGTGATCTAAGACTCTAAGTTACCCCGCCGGTCTAAGTTACCCCGCCGGTCTAAGTTACCCCATTTTACGGTACTAGGCACTAGTTGTGAAAAATCTTATTTAATACTATGCTGGGTCATTTCCTAATTTCCTTGGCAGAATGAAATTCTAGGAATGGCCTACTTAACTCTTAACAAATTGGAAAATTGTGCAGAAGCTACCTGTGAATTGGACAAAATCACCTATTAATCTGGTCTGTCTAATCTGTTCTGTCTTAATCTAACAAATTGCTATATCACTGAACATGCTTTCTTCAACTTTAACTCTTTACCACCAAATGTAAACTGCGGCTGTTATACATACGAAATGTAAACAGATGGTGTTCAGTGTTGCCATATGACTTTGGAGAAAATTTCTTCTAAAATAAAGATGGCCGGGATTGCGCGAACACGTGCGCGAAGATAATCAATTTTCATTACATTGCACCAACTGTGCACAGCAATAGCTTAAAAAAAGTGAAAATACGCGGGAAAATTCACCGAAAACATACATCATCCTGAGTGTGGAAGTCGCCTTTAAAAAACACCGGTTTTCTAAGAATTTCACGTTTTCTTTCATTTTTTTGAAAAATTCACACAAACAAAAAAGTCTTCGATTTATTTTTTTACATATGTGTACCAAGTTTCAAAGTTATTTGTCTGTAAATAACTGAAATAAAATTTCCAATTTCCAATGGAAATTTCCAATTTCTTGTTTAAATTTTATTTAGGTTATTTACTGATGGATCACTCTGAAACTTGGTGCACATATGTAAAAAAAATAAATCTAAGACTTTTTTGTACATGTAAATTTTTCAAGAAAAATGAAAGGAAATGTGAAATTCTTAGAAAACAGCCAAAAAGGGGGTACTGTAGAAGAAATCTATCTCCTCCTAGGACTTTCAAGCTACAGCATCAAGACGCAAATCATTCGATGCATAAGGACCATATCTATTGATTGGTCCTTGCTGTTTTTCAAAATTCTAATTTTTGTGGGTGGGGTGGGCATTTAAAAAAAATTTATTTCCTCCCCCCACCCTTTCAAACTTCCCCCTCCTTTTTTCAAAATATTTTCAAAACTATAGCGAAGTTGAAAAAAAAAGCTACAACCAATCTCTAGATCTTTTATTTGCAAATCAATCAGTATATCTCTCATTGCTGTAGCTTAAAAACTCTAGGAGGAGATAGGTTTGCAGTGACAATAAGTGTAAATGTTCAGTAGAGCGTGTGAAAGTCCCAAGCGCCTCGAAATAGGCATTCAAGGTGGCATGGATACAAGACAAGATGCTACTGGAGCTGAAATTCAGTCAAGGATGGTGGGAACGATTGCATGAGCACCATCCCACATGACAGCAGCCGGGTAACTAAAGATCAGCGTCTTCAGACCGTCTATTTATGTGACCGGCTGGTAATTTTTGCCTGTCTTAAATGTGTGTGAAAGAACTCCCCCACCCCTAACCCTTTCACAAGGTTGTCAAGGCATAAATCAATGTACAGAGATGATTTTGGTACCGTTGGATAGGTCAGAATGTCAGCTTTAAGGTGAGACTAAAAACTGGAAAAGTGAAATTTGCGATTCTCTACCTAGAAAATCAGGCGGTAAAGGGTTAACAGATGTTGATGTTCCTCTAAGGTTGTGCCAGTGTTAGTGAATAGTGAAGCATATATTTGTGACCAAGTGCTCCAAATATGTAGCTTGGGGCTGAGTAATTAATTGATCTAATCAAATTTTTCTTAAATCAAATGAATTAATTTGGTTCCTGGACCACTTTCAATATAGATTATGAACCAATCAGGACCCCAGCAATTTTAGAACCACTATGTTCAATTCAAAGTGTTGCATAAATGATGATCTAAACTCATTAATTAAGGAGATTGGACCTCATAATTTGTATGTAAACTGAATTTTGTTTGAAAATATGTGCTATTTTCTCCAGTGTAGTAATTACAATATTTATAAAATATCAGTCATATTTAACACTTCTCTATAAACAGGTTTATTTGTGTTTTGTGAGGTTACAATATCATGCCTTAGCCAACCATAAATTGATTATTGTCACACTTGTATTTTAATCCCCTACCATGCTCATGATTTGATGATTACTGCTTGTAAAATGTATGTCTTTGACTATTTGACATAATATTATGCATGTGCATTTTCAAAAAATGATTGAAATAGCACACTTGAATTAATTTCAGTGTCCTAATTATGTCAAATCAAATTACAGTTGGATAGTTTTGCTCTATATTTGTATGATCAATATTAAAATTGATTTTTAACTTAAACAATTTAACAAATTATAAGTTTATACAGAATTTTTGCTATTTATGTATAGAAATTTTATTGTCTGATCCCAAGTTCTAGCTTCAAATTAAATACAAATTCAATCTATACAATATCTGTTGACTGTAAATTATCTTCCAGGACATTTGATGAGATGGAGTTATGCCCAAAGCCCCATCTCAATGTTATTATTGGTCCAAACGGCACTGGGAAATCGACCATCATGTGTGGACTGGCTCTGGTGCTGAGTAACAAGACTACTGTTACAGGAAGAGGAAAGGAGGTGCTCTTTAGTTGTAGCTGAACTTTGTGCTTGGAATCCTTTGATTTTGAAATATCCAATTTTCCTATCATTTCTTGCATATTTTGGAACTAGTGTGTGGTTGCATGCATGCTGTCTCTTTTAGGCATCTTGTGCAAAAGCCCTATTTATAGCACATTTTTTTCATTTATGAAAGAAAGGTGCTATTGTGCTCGTCATGTCCATCCATCTGTGATTTCACAGACGGATGCATAAGAATATGTGTGCTCTGTTACTCACTGCAGTGAGTACTGATCCAATTTTTTAAGCATCAATTTGGCCCGTATATACATCATTTCTTGTTGATGGAAGGAGAAACTACCCTTAAATGTCCTGTCTACACTGGATTGTTTCAGTGGCACTTGTACACAGATTTAGAAGTTGATTAGTAAGTCACAAATGACTTATCATTTGCAACTTCATGATCCCATTAAAAAGTAATTAAAAAAATTTCAAGATGATAAATTTTGGAAGAGAGCATTTTAAACTTACCACCTAAGAGTGAAATTAAATTTATCATATTCGTGGCAGGTCAGCGAGTATGTCAAGCATGGGAAAGAAATGGCTGTCATTGAAGTTGAAATCTTCAGAGGACAGAGTCGCAAGTATGCAATATTTAAACATTTGATTAAGCTTAACAGTAGTTTGTTTAAGGAATAAGTTTTCCTAGATTTGTTTTAATTAATTCATGATTGCCTATTTCATTTTTCTCTGAATATTAGTTTTTTCAAAAATATTTCACACGTCTTTTTGAAAGTATGTATTAAGAGGAGCATGTCAGTCAACAAAAATTTTTTTGTTTATGGGCGGATCACTGTGAAACTTTTATACGTAGTATATACAATAGAAATTGATGACTTTTTTTGTTCATGTCAATTTTTTGAAAAATGAAAGAAAAAGTGAAATTCTTAGAAAATGGCAAAAAAGGCAGACTGTAAAAATCTATCTCTGCCTAGGATTTTCAAGCTACAACATTGAGAGACATAGAGACATATCATTTGATGCATAAGACCCATTTCTAAATATCATTGGTCATTTTTTAAAACTTTTTGGTTATTTTTTTCCTATAATTTTTTTCCAATTTTGACCCCTCTTTTTGTCAAAATATGATCAAAACAAAAAAGAAATTTAAAAAATGATCAGATGATCTCTAGATATTTTTTCTTACAAATTGAATGGTATGTCTCTGACTGAATGCTGTTGCTTGAAAATCATAGGAGGAGATAGATTTTTAAGATGAAATCAAAACTTTTCAGGAGAGCCAAAAAACTCTTGAAGCGCAGTTTCTGATCTTTAAAATGAGACCAAAAACAGGAAAAGCCAAAATTTTCTATTTTTGACAGACATGCTCCCCTTGAATGTGTTCAAAGAACACTGATCATTTTTTCGTAATAATTTATCATCTTATTGGTGTAATTTAGTCTCCTCTTGGTTTGTTTCAATTTTTTTACAATTATTTTAGCTCTAATCTAGTTAATCATGTTCAACATAAAAATTTAAAACTTGTGTGTTTATGGAAAATGTCACTCCTCATTAAAATTGCAATCTTCCATATTCCTGCTGTCCTATGTAGGTATAATTTAAAAGACAATCAAATTACTGCATTATCGTTCAAACTTACTTTTATGTTTCACTGTAAAAATTTACAAATTACCAAGTAGCCATGAAATAAATAAAAATTTATATCAATTTATACAATATTCTAATATATTTAGCTGAAAAATACTATTGCTTATATATATGATGGGCCTTGACCTAGGTGTACTGTTGATTTGTTGCAAATTTTTGCTTGAAGATCTTGGGTCTTATAACCATTATTTTGATCAAGATGTAACTTGATTATCCATTGTTGTCAGAGGTGGTAATTTGGTGGTGCGCCGAGAGTTCAACAAAGCCAATGCCAATCAATTCTACCTGCAGGGACAAAGTGTCTCCTTCAAAGAGGTCAGTGAAATATTGCAATAGAGTACCTAGAGTAGAACCCTCTAAAATCCCATGGTTTTATTTCTAGCCTATATGGGGAAATTTGATTTGTTGATTGCTCTGGGAATCAATGGTGATTGCTCGGCTTTATCACAATTTCAAATAATGTTTTATATTTGTTAAATCCTTGGTCAAGCATTCTGTATTTCCTGGAAATCATTTCAAAAATTTTGCAGTTTTTCGTTTTGTCTGTAAATCATTTTTGTGAGTTTGCATTTAAATTTTTCCATTCATCTCAGGTGGACTCAAATTTGAAGAAGCTAGGGATCCAAGTGGACAACTTGTGCCAGTTCCTGCCTCAAGATCGAGTTGTAGAGTTTGCCAAAATGAACAGCATGCAGCTCCTGGAGAACACAGAAAAAACTGTTGGTAAGCATCACAATTTGGGTTAAATTTATATTGGTCCTATTAAACATGATTTTCTTCTGTAATTTTGTTTAATATATGAATTAAAAGACATTATTGCATCAAGTGTGTTTCAGGTTATTCAATAGAAGTAATGAAAATGCGATAGAAGTCTTACGAGTAATATAACATTCCATTTTAATTGCTTTTTCTCTTTACTTGGTTACATTATTAAAAATATCCTGAGATATCAAACTAAAGTATTATATACTGAGAATCATACTTCTGTGTCTGCCTTCTACTGCACAGTACCTATTACAAGCAGTGCTATTTACGCATATGTCAAGGTTTCAGGTTCTTCTCAATTAGTTGGGGTAGTATGCAGAATAAATATAAATAAATGAATTTGTATTGTTTGATTAAGTGTAATTATTTAACAGTATAAATTAAATTATTACTTGATTTTGACAATATTACAAATTCAAACAAAGATAATTTTAAAGATATGGATCCTAATTAAGATAAGAACTTTTGGGAAACAGGTGCTGCCATATGGGTCTGACCTGTGAAAAGAAGCATGCTAAATAAGTGTGTCTAATAAAGTAAAGTTTTATTGATTTCACGTAATGTACAAGACACACCACTCATGGTAACGCAAGATATAAAGTATAACATACAAAAAAGCTAATTAATCTCGGGTGTTACTAGGCTCACCTGTTGGGAGCTGGAGGACGTAAAATCAATGAAATTGTCTATCTGCTATCAATGAAATGCTAACAGAAATGAACTAAGGTGTGGGAAGAATAGGGCGCTAAGTAAGGTGAACGTTTCTCCTACAGCCTGGCACTGAAATCAAAACCAAAGTATGAAACTTATCTCATGTTTTTAACTATTTTATATCTATGGAATCAGGTGGTCAGCAGCTATACAATCAACACATGCAGCTGTGCTCGCGGGGGGGAGATTTACAGCAGCTGCGTCAACGCCAGCAGCAAATACGGGAGCAGCACCAGACAGAAGTCGATAAGAATCAAAGGTCTGTGCTTGACATAGATATTTTGCACTTTGGCTTTGTCATTTTTTTGCCCACTCAGCCCTAAGTCCTCTTATTTTTAAAGTCTCGATAATGTACTGCAGCATATGTGATTCACTAAAAAAAGAATTCATCTCTATTCTCCACACTGTGTTTGTTAACTATGTTAATTAGATGACAATATCACGAAAACTGCTATAGTAATAGAAACTTTAATTAAGGAATTGTTTTATCCCACAGAGTTGATGCCGAAGTACAAAACCACCATAAGCGGGCACAACTTCAACGTGAAATTGAAAAACTTCAACAACGGCGACTGTGGTTCCTGTATACCAAACTCCGCGTCGATCACATTGAACGAAAGAAAAATAGAGATGCTTTAGTAGCTGAACTAAAAGCGTATGTTTAGGAACTTGCTGGAATCTTGTAACATTGAAATCCATTAGATGAATCTAGTATCTCTAATGAAATTATTATTTGTGAGCTCCAGACCTCAATCTTTACATATCTTTCTTTCTGATTCTTAATTTCTGTGATTATCAAATTCAGCTCATTTATTTTGACAGATCAAATCTGGGCCATTGCCTTCAACCTTACTTTCAGGTCCTATCAAAGCGGCCTTAATATAGGTATTGACTAAGGAACTAGTTTTAAATTTATATTGGTTTGTTGTACTAACGATATGGCTTTCGGAGAGAAGTTAGAAGGTTAAATTTAAAGATTTATTAATGGACATAGCTGAAGAAGAAACCATTCGCGGTTTTCTGGCAGTTTCCATTTATATTATTGCTGGTTTTACGTATTATCCTTTCTACAAATCCTGCAGACTCAAAGATCGCTGGCAGCCTGATGTGGATCGAATAACAGCAGTCAAAAATGATTCCGAGGACATGAAAAAGAAAATATTGATTGAGGTGAGATTTTTATGCCACTTTTCTGGTATTCCTAATACCAATGGCTTGATCTTGGTAGGCATTCAAATATGCAAGGTTGATTTTTCTTGCGTATGATATTTATCTTTTTAAATTTTTTTTGAAAGGGTTCATCAGAATGTGAGGAATTTAATCAATTTCTTTGTTTTGATATCTTACAATAGGCTGAAAAATTAATTAAGTTCTACCATTATTGTTGTTCCCATTGATGATCAGGAGCGCGTGGTGTCAAATATTAGTTCAGAGGCAACAAGTCTTGAGAGCCGCTTGAATGACTTCGTGGAGCAGCGGCAAGACGCCGTGCGTGATTACGAAAACAAGGAAAAAGTCCACCACCAGCAGCAGCGGCAACTGCAGGACCTCCACAAGCAGCTTGCCACCATCGAGTCACAGATAGAAACTCTTGATGAACAAGAGGGCAAGATTGGTGTGATGGACGGTAATTTTATCTTGTGCTTGTTTCATCGTTTGATCAACTCTTTAATGAGAAGCTAAGCTCTTGATGAACAAGAGGGCAAGATTGGTGTGATGGACGGTAATTTTATCTTGTGCTTGTTTCATCGTTTGATCAACTCTTTAATGAGAAGCCGGATCTGACCGGACTTATGGGATGCTATTATCACATTTTCATACATTAATGACGAATTTCGTATAAAAATGACAAGATTAGGGAAAAATTAATCAGTGTCTAGGACAAGTTTCCTGTTGGACGTTCAGGAACTCCTCATTCAGCATTAACAACGCTTAACAGCACTATTGTATGTTACTTCATATAACACTATTGTATATTACTTCAAATAACACTATTGTACATTACTTCAAATAACACACTATTGAATGTTACTTCAAATAACACACTATTGAACGTTACTTCAAATAACACACTATTGAACGTTACTTCAAATAACACATTATTGAACGTTACTTCGAATAACACTATTGTACGTTACTTCAAATAACACATTATTGAACGTTACTTCAAATAACACACTATTGAACGTTACTTCAAATAACACACTATTGAACGTTACTTCAAATAACACACTATTGAACGTTACTTCAAATAACCTACTATTGTACGTTACTTCAAATAACACACTATTGAACATTACTTCAAATAACACACTATTGAACATTACTTCAAATAACACACTATTGTACGTTACTTCAAATAACCTACTATTGAACGTTATAACAATCCGCAACCTCTTGGTCACAGAAGAGACTCTGACGCGCGCCATCAACGAGCTCACGCTCGAAGGGCAGGGTTTGTCCAGACGCCTGGCGGGCGTGCAGGAAGAAGCTCTCGAGGTTCAGGACACGCGTCGCAACCACCTGGCCACCGCCCGCGACCTCAAGCAGCGTATAGACAATCTCAACGACACCTCCCAGGTAATATGCTACCCCAATCATGGCATTGTTCTTTGTGAGTTTAAGTTATTTCAGTTAATTTATAATCAATTTTATTATACTTACTCTCACGATCTGTTGATTGAAATATATGGATCTAATGTACTGATTTCACTGGGACTGACAGTTCCATTGCATCAAGGTTAGTACAGTGACTCGTCTTTACTCAAAACTTTGTAATTTTATAGTTAATTGTGCTCGTGTTACAGCGGCGTCTTCAGCTCCTTCAACAACGTCACCGCGATGCATACCAGGCAGCAATTTGGCTGCAGCAGAACACCAATCGATTCAAGGACGTTGTTTATCCTCCTATTTGTACTTTGGTAAGAGCGTCATAGCCTCATATATTTCATAGTATCACATGTCGCATAGTGGCAGACATTTAAATATCTTAACCTTGAAGGTTTTCATGCTGACTCAGGTTGCCTGCTGTGAAAGACTTGATGCTGTTCAATGAAATTTTTATTTCAGCTCAACGTGCTGAGCCCTGAGTACGCGCAGTACGTCGAGGACAGAGTGCCAAGAGCAGATCTCATTGCCTTTGTGTGTCGCGATAAAGACGACGTCAATTTACTGAAGCGTTTCACGGACGAGAAAAGATGGACCATCAACATAGTTCACTCTGGCAGTGACGACCTCAGCCAGTTCAGACCTGACAAGCCTGAGCATTACATCAAGTACGGCTTCCCAATCCATCCCACTTCTGAATAAGTCATTAATGATACCTACATTACTAGTATAAAACATGCATTTAATAGCGAAGGAAATGCCAAGTAATTCCACCATAATTTCATTAAACAAAGTAATGGTGAATTTGCTTGGCAGTGTTTTTTATTTTCTCTCGTACTTTTTGAAGTTTTAGTTTTTTAGATGCAATGGTATGAACTTCGCAACATGCTCTCTTTATTGTTCGTGTAGGACTGAAGCAATTTCACCACATATTTCTGTAAAGACTGATAAAATACTTGTGCAATAAAATTTGATTTGTTGGGTATTGCTAGGCAAGTTGTTTAACTAGTTATAGCCTGATTATGAATTATTTTTTAATGCAAGTAGCCACGGTTATCTGGCTTTTTAAAGTTTTGTCACCATATTTTTTTTGATGCTTAAGGGCCTGACCGCTTTTCACTGAATTCTATTCCGATTTTTAAGGAGTGGATACTTCGTCTTAGCCTCATGTTACTCTACTGGGCAGGAATTTGGGGTTCGACACGTACCTGCTCCAGACAATTGAAGGACCTGGTGCTGTGCTGCATTACCTCTGCAAGACATACAAGTTGCACAACATTCCCGTTGCTCTGGGCGACAAAGTCAACGTTCAACGAGTTCTCAAAGATTTCATGTCGTTTTATATCGGTGAGTTGTTCCTTACAACTGCACCTTCATTTATTGCAACTTTTGATTTTTCTCTAAACCTTTTAATATTGTGCCTTTGGCAGTTGCTCCCTACTTTTTTTTGCAATCGAGAACGCATGCCGCATGGAGGGTCCATATAGTTACCGAGGCGCCAAAACCTACCTACCTTTAATGTTGCTAATAATGAATCTTATAAGTTAGATTTCCAGTTAATGAGTGCGCTCATAATTTGTAATTGCTCATTTCGTTTGAGTACAGTTTGAATTTAAACGTGGGCCTCTGGGACCTCCGTTGGGAGACGAGTACCAAGAGTTGTTAATCGTTCTCTGTTCATCTTGCTTAATTTAGGCAGTAGACGTGGTTTTGAAGTAAAAAAAAGTTCAACTCTACCCCTTTGTTTTTTCATTATTTATTTATTTACATGTAATGACAATGGGGTTCGTGATGATTAAGAGCACATTTGTTTTGAGGTACACGTGCGAACACTATTATTATCCTCTAGTCTTTGTGCAGCCGATTCCCGGTATACCCAAAGTCGTTCGCGTTACTCCAACGACGTAATGACGAACCTGAGTCAGGTGCAGAAGCCTATGCTGCTCACGCAGAACCTGCAGCACGACAGGCTTAATGCTCTCAACGAACAGCTCCGGCAACTCCAGCAGGAGTGAGTTCATCTTCGAATCTCAGTGTGGCTATCGCCGTTGCCTGGCTTGTATTATCTAGTTAACATCATTACATTTTTGTTTCTTTGGCCGTTCTTCTCTTTTGCCATATTCAGGATATATAATTCCTATATATCCTGAAAGTTGTTTGAGCATATAATAAACTCCCTGTGCAATTAATTCTGTTCTTACGATTCAAGTTCTATAAAATTTATCAGACAGATTTTTATTACCGTCATAAATGTACAGGGTTGGCTATGCTATGCAAGTACTCTACGAGCATACAAAAAAAAAAATGCTGGTTATTGTAGAGTATAGACTAATAAAATAAAAAAAATTATCAGGCTATTTTTTGTACTGAAAACTCTGTATTTTGTTCATTTTTACAGAATAAATTCGAAAGAGGAACGCTTGAAGTGTCTGCACGCCAGCGAGACGGAGCTTAGTCGCGCTATTGAGGAGAAGCGACGCCAGAAGCAGCAAATGCTTCAGCAGCGCAATAACAGGTTAATTTTTCACAGAACAAGCTTCCACAATTTTTTTCCTCGTGTATGTTAACAAAAGCTTTTCTTATTTCTTGGAAGTTGATGATGAGAAAGCATTGGTCGTCTGTCTACTGATGTTAAATTAGAATTAGTTTTTCTTCTGGTTGGTATATGACAATTTTTGATCCCAATGTTAGTAGTTCGCATCCACTATGTTGCAATTGTTCGCCTCTAATATTACTGCTTGTCTTGGTGGTCGTAAAATAGTGCCTTTTTTATTCAATGCTCACTTTTATGCTGCAAACTTGAACTATTAATGATCTATCGTATTAATCCATGCAAGATATCTGAAGCTGATTATAAGTTTCCCTGCATACAGGATAACATCCACAACCATTTGCGAAAATGCCATCAGAAATTGGAATTTCTGTATTCTTTCTTTTTGCATTTTGATTAAATAAATTGGAGTGAAGATTTGCTTTATTTCTTCTTTTGATTTAATTAGACACCTAGCAGCATTTCTGTGCCACTCTCTTTATCCCCAGTCATCAGCTCCTTTCTCCGACATTTGCAGCCAAATTCAATTTTTTTGCTAATTGTATATGAATGTGAAGATGAAATAATACTTATTTACAATAACATTCACAATCTAGGTATAGCAGAATCAGCCACGAGTTTGTTTAGTCTAGTCTTCAACTTGATTTACTGTACGCACCAGCAGGATGTGTACCAGTATTTATATTATCTTTATTAAATCCTTCCACAAACAACAGGAAGACGTTACTGGCGCGGCGGGACCATAAGCAGGAACAAATCAATCGCACTGCTCAGGATCAAGTTAACCTCGCTGATGCCCTCGCACTTAAAGAACATAAAATGCAGGTGCGTCAGTTTAAAATTTAAACCCATAGGTGACCACCGTCCATCCAAAAATGACTGAAACCGTAGTAGTTTAAAGTACAACAATAGCGGTTAATTTAACAGATGAGATAGTCCTCAGTTGAAGTCTGTTCTTTATCTCAGAATAGGATATTAGGTTTGTTGATCCACAGGAACTAGGTGGCTGGTTCCACCAAAAAATTTTTGTCTCTTTATGAAGCTGTTTCCCCAACCGACCACAGCATTACGTTGCTCTGATTGGTCGTATTTGTCATCCACCAATCGCCGTCGATGCTGTCATAGATGATGCAGGGATGTGATAGTGGAGAAGCAAACAGATTCATTCTGCAATTGTTTAGTCGTATTTTAATCATTAAAGGAAGGAATTCTATTAGAAATATTATTTATAATTCGAAATATAATGAGCGCATTGTATTAGAGATATAAAATACTGGAAATTTCTTGCTTCATTGAGTTTACCAAACATGTCTGGTCCGTTGAAGCAACGTGCGGCTTACCCTGTGATGATAAGACTGTAGCTCATCTACTAACTAAAGAGCCTTAATTTCTTGAGTAGTCCTTCAGTACCTGTATTCTGCATTATATTTTATATGATTTTATAAGAGATGCAATTTAAATTGAAAAATCAGGTGCGAAATCAGGTGATCATTTAAGTGCGAAAACAGCGTTCCCGAAATGTTCATTTTCCAAATTGCAAGTAGAAAATACATATATGCTTCTAATTTTCGTTAAAGTTGCACATTCTAAAAGATCATAGCTCACTGCACTTAGAAATTAATGTCTGTTTCATCGAGATAATCACTGTTTGTGTTAGGTATTTTTATTTATCCTGTATGACATTTTCATTGCAAGATTTCCGTGTGGCCTGGGAGCAAATTTGAATGTGAGAAACTGTTGATATTGACTGGCGTGATTTTATCGGAAGGTTGTCTGTGTTCACAGTTAGCCTCGCGTGATGCTTTGAAGGCGGCTGAAGGTTTGTGCGAACTGAGACAGCGACATTGCTCTGCTAAGCATAACTTGGTTATCATGCGCGCATACTACAAGTATCAATGTGATTCCGTCACCGAACTCACAAACGCCTTCCAGGAGATGGAAGAAACTGTCGCTCTAAAGAAGGTAATGTTTTTAATTTTAGAATTCTTATGACTCTTGCAAAAGTGGCCAAATGAACCACCCTTATCTAATACTACTCATTTAATATTTTTAGAATGAAGAACTAGAGGAGCTTCTTCTTGTCATTTCTGTTAATTGAGCAAACGAGAGTGAAATGAATAGTGTGAAAAATTTTCCTGCTCAAACGTTGTAAAAAAATACTGACAATATAGCTAGAATTTCTTATCATAGAACTCCAATGAATAAGTGTCAATGAATAGTTATATATTTTTCAACAGACACTTCGTTGCTGTTGTGCGACAGTTCCCTCAAAAAATTTGACCCAAATATCCATACAATATTAATTATTACTTTGTTTTAACATGACAGCAAGAAGTAAACGATGCTACGATGCGAGTGAGGGAGTCAATGAGATCCGGCCAAGATACGTTGGCTGAACTTTTGAGATCCCTTGGGCTTGAAAAACCTACGGAAATCGACGAAGAGGTGAAATTATTAATACTACCATTGAGTAGTTTTTTTCCAAAACGAAAATGGATTAAAAATAGAGCATGTTGTAAATCGTTTGCAGTACCTAAGGGGTTATTGTATTCTGATTTTAACTTATGATTTACAGTCCCAAAAGTTAATATTTGTAGACTGGATGGATGTTGCAGGTACGCAGCCGTTTCAACGCTGGCATCCAAGGCCTGGAAGCAACAGAAGAAGAGCTCAACAAGATCGAGGCTCACAGAGACTGTCTTGTCACGGCTGATTCTCAGGTCCGTTGTTGACATTTGTGTTCTTGTTGCGCTTGTATTTAACAGAAATTCTTTCTTACCATGTAGGAGTGATGTTAACCTTTCATATCTGGTCTTTAAAACCTATGTTCAGCCTAATTTGCTGTAACATTAACTTTCCATCAGTTATTCACTTACTCGTAAATCTATTTCATTGGAATGTTGGTGTGACTGAGGTGAAAAATTCCATTTTTGTTGTTTATTGACAGGGAAAAACCCTGTGTCACATTGGGGTGAACATATTTCCCGATCAAGTGAAGGGGGAGATTTTAATTTCTTCGACTACTTAACGCATGCCAGTGCCTAGAAATTTCAAGGGCATAGTTCTTTATTCTACAACTGTATTTTCTCTGAGTTTTTTTTGCGTCTTGGTTGAGAGTCAAATCGTTCAAGTTATCACATGTAAGTTTGTTATAGCAGATGGTCGGTCAATCAATGTACTATAATTTTTTTAATTGACTATTCTTCGATCAGGTGGTAGCTGAATTCAATCAACGGAAGAAAAACATCGAGAATTTAGCGCTTCAGCTGGAGAAATTGACTACAGAGGAGCAACGAGGCACGTCAGACCTGATGGCAATGCGAGCAGAATGGCTGAACAGCATAAACAAACTCACCGAGACTATCAGTGCCAGCTTCAGCCGCCTCATGGCCAGGATGAAGTGCGCTGGAGAAGTCAAGCTCAGCACTCCTGATAATGAAGTGAGGAGCTTAACTACCTGCACGCCAGTGATGTTCTCTTAATGTGTTTACTCAGCTACAGGCAACGTAGATTTTTGTAACTTCGAGCTTTACTCGTTTAGCTTTACTCTTTTCACCCCTGTATGCATTTCTTTGGAATTAGATATGATTTTCCAGATCAACAATAGATTGTAAAAACTATTACAAGAAAGAAATCGAAGAGAGTAAGCTGGAATTTATCTTGATTTTGTTATAAACCTCAAACTAAGGCGCCATTTTATCATCATCATTGTTTAGTCTTATACTTGTGCTTAATAATCATTTCTCCTCATGTGAAGAGCAATCGTTCATTTGCAGTTAACTTGTTTCAACTGAAAAAATTCTTCCTCCAGGACGATCTCTCAAAGTACGGTTTGACAATCTGGGTGCGCTTCCGCGGCAGCGAAAAGCTGCGGGAGCTGACAGCTATGCAGCAGAGCGGTGGCGAGAGGGCCGTGTCCACAGCGCTGTACCTGCTAGCTCTCCAGACCATGTCTACCGTGCCATTCAGATGTGCTGATGAAATTAATCAGGTGCTGCGCTAGATGACGGGCTCTTCATATCGACATGAATTTATCTATGCAAGATTTCGTCTTATCCAGTAGCTTTCTATGATTTTGCCTGCCTTTTTTTGCCTCTATGTTTCTATTTACGCGCGTGGATCACATAAGACCGAATTTTAATAGCGAGCTTGCTTTTTGTAATCATTGATGAAAAAACCTTTTGCTCGTGCAGGGAATGGATGCCGAGAACGAACGACAGATGATCACCATGCTTGTCGAGCACATGACGGATCTCAATGCTTCACAATATTTCTTGGTCACTCCAAAGGTAATACTATTGTCAGTAGACGCCATAGTGACGTTATATTTGTGAGGTTTTGAGATCTAGGCTCCAACATCAATGTGTATAATCGTGAATAATTCACCTGGAATTCATTTGTAATTTTGTTAATTTTTTACTTGGATATTTTGCTGGTTCATCTTACCTATGCACACGGGCTGATATGTAATCATGACCTTTGTTTGCAGTGATAAGGTGCGTATTTGAGGTTAAAATTGCTGATCGTGTGATCCAATTTTTGTTTAGTTCGTAAAACAATTGTTTTCCATCGACAGCTGCTGCCAAATTTTCCCTACAACGATCGGGTCAACGTCATCTGCGTTATCAACGGTCCTAAAGTTGCCTGCAAAATACCTGTTGAGGCTGCCATTAAAAGAAAAAAGAAGCTGAATAGTAAAGGCAAATAACCATAGATCTAGTGTACCCTTTTGGAACAATGCCTTAAAGGAGTATTTTTTTACAAATACGTAACAATAAGTGGAAACTACAGAAATCATTTTTTTTTCAGTAAATATTTTTCAGTATTTTGTATATTAAAAAAATTATGTGCACAGCTGTGCCTAAGACTATAAGTTATCGCAACCTTGGTTATTTCCGACTGGTTACTATTCCGTATTTCCGACCACTCTAACGTAGAATACATGTTTGGTATTTAGTATTAATTGATGTGGCAATCCCAGCTGCTGATGGCAACACTAGCACAATCCTGTCATTTCTGTCGATTTTTTCTATGTAGATTAAGGATTTGATCGGAAGCGCCAGTAATGGTTTTCATTAGATTGCATTTCGCGTACAAGAGTAGAGAGGAAATTTACGTATTAGTAAATTCCCTTCACATCCGTTTCCGTTGTAAATCCCCTGGTGTTAGCCTCATTCCGTTCGAATCACTTTTTTTACTGACATCACGGCTACATAGTTTGGAAAGGATCAAGGAAATTACTTTTTTAGTGTATAATAGTTCGGACACAATATAGGCGTTACGTTATATGCATTTAATTTCTTTATGTTGATTAATTTTGCTACAATCGAAATACGTACTAAAAGTTTGATTAGCATTGCTGATTCTCATGTGGTCAAGTTCGTTGAAATGCGACTACATTTGTGCCCTGTCTCTCTAAGCCAATTGACAAACGACGGAGGCATCAGCTACTCCGACCGCATCTCCGGCGCTGAAGTACAGGAACCTGTCTTTGTTGAGGTAAACGTACTGAGCCTCCGCGGACTCCATCGGCTCCTGTGTGATTTAAGCAGTACGTTAGCAAGGTCCTAATCTGATTCCCGTCACAATCCCCGTATGCTAAATTTAGTTTTCTCTGATTATATTGTCAACTTTATCACCTGTATATCATGGCTCTGATTGTAATGAATAGTAGTTCGCCAAATCGGTTGCTTTCTTACGCTGTTGACCCGAAACGCTTAGAAAACGAAAAATTTTGTTAAGTACGTCGTTGTAGGCCTCTGAGTTGTGACTCTGATCTGACCAAATCTAGTTCGATCAGTTTAAAGTTGAACATTCTTAAGTTCTTCACTTCAATTTAAATTTCTCGCTGCTGGTATTACTTTTTGACTAAGTCTGTTGAGATTTTTGATTTGTTAGATTAGTTACCTGGGAATAATCACCAGTCGACGACCCGGAATCGTACACGGCCCAAAAAGGACTTCCCATAGCAATGAAGGTTCCTGTTGTGTTCCAGACGTAAGACGATTCCAACCCTGCTGGTTTTTGGCCTCCAATCCAGAAATTTTTGGTATTCGAAGCTGAAATATCAGGATTCAGTCATTTGTGTTTACTCTTATGAGGTATTCGCTATTGAAAGCGAGTTTATTGTTTGATAGAACTTATAACATCGATAGTAAAGGATTCAATTGTTTGATGGTAATCATATTCCCTTTATAATTTAACTCATTAAAACTTTGTTGTTGAAACCTACCAAATTGTTGCTTCAATACGTTGACGAGATCGTAGAAGAAGTTGGCGTCGTCAACTTCTACCATTACTCCGCCGATCTCCCTGCAACGATAGTGCATTTCGAACCAAGTTCCCGTCACAATGTCGATATGCAGACATCGCCCTGACACGTTAGTGTACAGGGGAGGGCACTCTTCCATGTCAATTTGCGCACACCTCGTTTCATCTGAATTGTCAGAACAATGTTGCACTCCATCGCACACGTTTGTGATGGAAATGCACTGGCCGTTGCTGCACGCGAAGTCTTCCGCCGAGCAAGCTGTCAAAACATATAAAAATATTATTAGGTTGTTTATTGCTTAGTTGTTTATACTAATAGGAAAGAACAAGCTCTATGGGTTCTGATTATCTTCTGAAGTATTTTCCTTTATATTTTTGGTTTACCTTCAAATCCGTTTTTTTATTTCATTATTAGTTTATAAAATTATTAACATCTTGGAAGAGTAATAACCTTGAGCAGAAGTCGTCTTGAGCGCGACCAACATCAGCAATACGGTACTCAAGATCTCCATCGTCGTATCTTGTTTTTTAGCACAAAAAATTACACTGCTAACTAGGGTCGAGTCGAGAGGTATCTGTGGAAAATAATCTTCTCAGTATGAAGAAATTGAGGGGCCGAATGGTTAGGAAATTCGGCGTACTAGATTAATACGAGAAACTGTTTTCATACAAGACGTGCAAATGCGTAGATCTTCTCTATTGTTGCAACGCAGTACAATATTTGGATGCAAGTCTCATGTGTAGCTATAATAATATCATGGAAAAATAGTTAAAGACTGAATGGCAAAAATGTTGAGAGCTCATGGGAGGGCTTCTCATGGGCCCTTAAATGTTGAAGGCTTCTCGTGGGCCCAACACAATCTAGAATAGGTTACTCAAAAGTGGAAGGACAAAGTGTGTACTTGGTATAATTTATAGCCAACCCACTGTTATCGTCAGTTGTGTGTTTTCTCACGCTTGAAGAGCCGTCTTCTGAAGAATGTTTTTCGTCTGAAATACGGCTATAATCTTTTTCTGTGAATACATGTCCTCGATAGTCGATTATCTAAGCTAAGACATGCCAAAGGTAAGCCACATACTAAGTTGTTGACCGTATTAGCACACATTCAAGTCGGTTTTATTGCAAAACAGGCCGTTTGCTCTAATGCCACTTTCAAAACCTAGCTCTGATACACTTACTTTTTTCGGATTTTTCAATACGACCTAATCACGTCACTCTGATTTACAGCTGACCTCTATCTCACATTTTCTGTTGACTCATCGTGTTCTCTGTAACCGCTTTTATGTCATCATGACTTTCCGAATAAAAGCTCTCAAACAAACTTTATCGGTGATTCCCCGTAGGAGATATTTTAGTAATTATATATTCATCTTATTACTTATATATGTGGTCTTATTAACACTCTTTGGAAAAATTATAGCTTTTTGCTTTGATAATTTAAGATGGATTTGAACTATTTTTGATAAAACCCGTAAAAAGACAATTCTATGGAGTCATTTTGAAAATTTTTGTCGATTCATTTTATTTATTTAGCTCCGTGGCGTCCGAAACTGCTGTCACGGAGCTAAGCCTTCAGTTCCCTATTGCGTGTCGAATGAAAGAAAATCAAGTTGAGAATACGGTGAAATAAAATCAAGGCTGCGGTGGGTGCGGCTTGATTCTGCGACCGGCGACTACCACCTCTTCCAGTGTGAAGACTGAGGAGCTGCACTTGTCACTTACAACAGGTTAACTAATTTAACATCACATCGGGCGAGATGGAAATATACGCAGTTGCCATTACTGACTGGTCATTTTAAGCGGTGTGCGAAACTGACGCCACAGAGACAACATTGCTATAAGATAGTCAAATGATTACTAATTGGGTTGAAAAACGGAGAAATAAAACCGGGCAAGTAATAAGTTGTATTATTACTTTCTTATTCACTATAAATAAGTTTGCGCGATGAGCAGCAAATGTTTTCGATCGACTGGAACGGTGAACATGTCTTAGTTGCTTACAAATACTAATTAGTGGATTTAAAGGATGACCTACTAAATCATTTTCTACAGTAAAAAAAAATAGAGAAAAAGCAAAATTATCACGTGTAAAAATTAGAGTCAAAGTTAAATAATTAGAGAAAACAAAATTATCATGTATATTGGTGGCGTTTTATTAATTCATGTATATTATTAATAATAATATTATTAATCATGTTATTTATTCATGTATATTGGTGGCGTTTAAGTTTTTATTCACAATGAAGTTAATTATTCCAGACAATTAATAGAAGAATAATTTACTATAGCGTGCAGGATTGTTGAAAATTTTATTCAATGTTTGTCGGTGTGTAAACTTTCGTACGTAATACACATAAGAAACGATAAAATTGTGCTGGATGCTATTTCCGGCTTAATTTTGTGAGATTCTCATCATAAAACGGAGTTTACATTAATCTTAATGTATGAATCAACCATTTACTCATTTTTCTATATTATTTGAGGACTGACTATAGATAGACGAACTTTTCGAAGCGAACGTTACTTATCCATATCTTCGCCTAGAATTTGACAAATCCCATGAAATATATTATCTATAAATTCGGTATTTTTTACCCTGACTTGACTTTCCAACTTCTGAATTGTACATCAAGTAATTTGCTAATTTTAGTCATTTAAAATCTTTGTAGGCATGCTGCATGCTGGCATCCAAAGTTTTCTCCATTGATCGCTCGTTTATAAATAATAAATCGAATTAAGCAAGTTGTTCACTACTTCTATCAACGTACTACTCTCCTTGGATAAATGTGAACATGGATGAAATTTTTCACGTGAACTGTGCCCCATGATATATGTACAAGTCTGCCGACGCTGAATACTGATCTGACATCAGAGGCATATATCATAGTTACTGCTCAAACCTTATCATGAATTTAGTGTATATTCAGTAAATAGTTATATGAAAAATCTAACATATGCCCTGAGTAAGTAAAGTTATTCTAAAAAAAGATGGTGACTTTTTCTCTACAATAACTAGCAAACGGTGTTTTGTAGCTTCTACTGCTTCTCGTTTTGCCTTCGTTAGCGCGTTTTAGTAATTTCACCGTCATTCTTGATTCCACACTTCCTCATTTTCAGCCCGTATCGACGGGTAATTTGTCGCTTAAAATCACAGCGATAAAAAAATTTCTTCTAAACTACTGAGCAGATTTCAACGAAACTTTGAATTTATATACCTAACCTCCCAACGGTGATGTTTAGCTCGGGACAATTTTTTTATTTTGCTTTCATTCGCGAGTTATACAGATATAGGAGGAACGACCGGCTTTTCTACTGGCCGGTTTAACCAAGAGCCGTTTACGAATAGCCGTATAACTCGCAAACGAAGGCAAAACGAAAAAAAAGTAACAAGCTAAACATCACAGTTGCTGAGGTTAGGTATTTAAATAATAAGTTTCGTTCAAATGTGTTCAGTAGTTTGGAATAAATTTCCTTATTATGGCGAATTTAAGCACTTATTGCTGTTTAAATCACGAATGAAAGTGAAAAAAAAACTCGCGAACGAAGGCATAATCGAAAAAATTTTCACGAGCTAAACATTACCTCTTGGTTTTTAGGACTGATAATTCAAAATTTCGTTCGAATTTGTTCAGTAGTTTGGGAGAAATTGATCACAGTGAATTTCGGCCCGTATTGCCATTTAACTATGGCAAAAACAAGTGAAGGCAAAATTCAAAAAATTTTCACCAGCTAAACATTGCCGTTAGGTCCTAATGAATACATGTACCAAGTTTCATCGAGTCAAGTTCATTAGTTTGAGAGATATTCCTTGATCATTGAATTTGGAAATTGGCCGTGAGACCGGCCACGAGTCCGATCGTTAATCTGTTCGAAACGTAAACCCAGGAGAGGTTAAAAAAAGATCTAGGTGAAAAAAACATCGCTGGGAGTCTTGTACTGCACGTGTTATGTACAAATCGTCAAACAAACGTTCGAACTTCTGACTTCGCCTTCGGACTGCCGCCCCCTTACCGCCCTCTACTTCCTTACCACCCCCCAAAATCTTTCCACCGCCCCTAGGGGGGCGATATCGCCCACTTTGGGAATCACTCCTTTTACCCATTAAAGCCTATTGGCAACTTTAGTTGCCACCTCAAAAAAATGGTAGTATTATCCATAATGTAACGTAAATTTAAGTTTTGTAGTACCACACCGCATCATACATGTTCCATACGAATACTGAACAAGAATAATTATTGTTCACCTTGGTTGCTCCCCCTTCAGTCAGTTGACCTTCCAACTACAGGCGGTCACTATGTTTTTGATCAGGCCTGTACCGGCCCACAGTAAAGGCTATGTTAAAATTGTTTATAAGTAAATATTTTATAATTCTAAGTTTTGAAATGATGGATTAGGAGTNCATAGCAAGCTCAGTTTGTCACTCAGCGAGCGCACCATCTCACTCAAGGAGTTTACTACATCATTCAACAATTTCGACTCATTGCCGTGCTCTTCCACCAATTCCTCTCTTTTTCGAGCACCAAGAGTTGGTTTTTCGCAATCACGGCAAAACCAATGAAGCAATTTAGATTTCTGGAGAAAATGAGTACTCCTTAGAGCTCAACTTAATTCGAACAGCTGATACAAATGAGATCTTCGCATCGTTCACAGGTGACCGTCTGGACTTCGCTCAGGAGAGATCACCTTGCAGTACTTGCAGACTTTCGTCTCTATAGCTCGGCTGATGGTTTCATTTTTTTCCTAGAGGCCGTAGAGGGCTTTTCGACTATCTTTTTTTCTGTCCAGCCATTATAAAATGCACGAACTAGATCTCTTGAACGGAGAGAAGGACGGAGGAATAACAAATATTCAGCAAATTACAAATATTTATAACAAATATTTATTCAGCATTAGTTTGGGGTTCAGGTTAAGCTGATATACGGTGTACGAGGTTTTTGCAGCCAAATTGAAATGTGATGCAACGATCTAGGAGCAACCATGGAATATATAATTACGCTACGTAAATGATGCTTGCATAAGAAAAATAAACGACGTTGTATGATGTGTTGATGTTCAAGCATTTCTCACACCGCGTACAAGCAATTGATTTTTAGCTGGTATACCGTATATGTAGAAATTGGTTGTAACTTATCTTACTTAAAGCACAAATAATTTGGGAATTAAGTAAATGCACGGTTTGAATTTAATAGTGCGCAGCAGGAAGTAGGTGGATGGCATCTGACTACTGGCAGGCGACATGGCTGCCGTGCGACCCTTGGCGCACAAATCCTTATAGGCTGATTTAACATGGATTCCAGCATTCCCTCAATTTGCGTCCTCGCTACGACAACGCGTCAAAATATCTGATGACATATAAAAACAATATTCATTACTGCTAATCTCACTTATACGATTGTTTATACTGTTATAGCATTAGTCTTACTGAACATATCAAGCATACTTGTAGCAATAACTACGCTATTCTAACTTATCAGGCGTCAAGTTCTAGGCTGACCCGGTATCATGGCTATGCAGTCAAAATGGGTCATTCGTAACAATCATTCTTGCAAGGTACGGCGTGAAGAAACGAAGTTATTATTTTCCCAATATCAACCTACAATGTTGAAGCAGGCGATTCCTCTGACCGTGACCATACCATCAAAAAGCACTCAATTACAAGTGGCCGCTAAGTACACGTAGCGACCGATATTTTTCTCGCCTTGAGTTTAGCTTGATAAGCCGTCAGTGATTGGCTGCCAGAGTTTCGAACTCTCAACTATTTCTGAACGTATTTCCCCTGACATCGGGTCACCAGCATGAGGCTGATAGCAAGCAGCAAATTAGCTCCTCGCATTAAACTTTAATTGAAATTAGAAAATTAAAAATTGATTTTTTC